TACCACTCCAATAGATCCATGTCACCATTCTGAGTACCAGAGCCACGGATGAGTCTCCGTCTTTCAGTCTGCTGACTATACGCATGGCTACGTGGAACCAGATCCTGGACCCGTGGGTCTACATCCTGCTGAGGAAGGCTGTTCTCAGGAAAATCTTCGTGTTGCTTCACGGCTGTTGTGGCTCGAAAGTTTACACCCTCCATCGGTGGCAGCGCAGTATGCTCCACAACTCAGCGGAGACCAGCAGCTCCAGTGGCTCGTCTGATTGCCGCTGCCCTGGTAAAACACATGTGCATAATGTTGTCATCAAATCCATCACCTGAACCCTGTCCTGAGTCTTTTATCTGAGAACACCGAGGTGCTGAAAAAGAAAAGGAAAGAAAATCCTTTGGAATACTAGAAGGACATTTCTAAAGAACGCTTATCCTAAGGTCAATTTTAAAGTGACCCAGGTCTAAAACAGAATTCCTTTGATTCTTCCTTTGCATGTGCTCTTCCTCTTTGCAAAGTTTCATCCCATTTCAGCTCAGCAGATGAATAAGACGCACTGAGACACGAGAAGACTATCAAAAATGCACTTACACAAACCACAAATGTTTTCTTGTAACATTTGCAAAATGATCACCATAAATTATCACTATTACTGTATATTGTGGTATTGACCTTTTGTTCTAAACTTTTAGCCCCACTTTCTGCATCAGGGGCACCAGACAAGTTCTATCAAAAACTGTCACAGTGTTAGAGACGAACTAACAGTCACTGTTAAGTTTTATTCATTCCTGGCTTTGTTCCACGTGCAGCTCCAGCCTGTACCTTTGCACTACTATTTATTGATTGTGACCGAGTCTTCTTTGACCTCACATGTTAACTTTTTATTATAAGGATTCCAGTATAATGTGTTAATCATTTGGTTTGCACAGATGTGCAAGACACGATAAGCGTGCAAAAAAACAAATGATCATCCTGCACCACCATGCTGACAGTCAGTATGATGTCTTTGTGCTAATATTGTGCTGCACTTAGTTTTCATCAGACATGGCTGTGCATTAATGCCAAACATCTCTACTTTGGTGCTGTCTGTCCAAAGCACATAATTCAAGAGGTCTTGTTGTTTGTTCAAATGCGACTTTGCAAACTTAAGCCATGTTGCTTTCATGCTTTTAAAGAGAAGAGGCTTTCCACTGGCAACCCTGGCATTTAGCAGGACCAGAAGCAGTAAGGATATACCGGTACTTAGGTTTTCACAGGACTGTTTTACCTGAAGCAAATATTTTGTGTTGAAAGTCTAGTTGATGTTTAAAACAAGCTTTTCCCAACAATTTCACCACAACAGTAAACTTTTGCTCATTGAGTGTTTTCTTTTTTTATAGTGTGTGAGCTGTTAATGTGATGGTCTATACTGAACCAGCCTTTAAACAATTTAAGCCTGCATTGTGTTATAACATGGACCAATTCAAATCATGATTTTTGCCTGTATTGGTACGTTTGATGTTTTAAATGGTTCGGGTGTGTGTTGTGCTTTTCTTTCAAAGTGTTGTAAAGAATGATCAGAGTAAGAAGTTTCTGATTGAAGTATGTAACGCTGCATTCAAGTGTGATCACGATCAGAACGAAAGCAGATGTTTTGAGAGGATCGTCTTCCAGCAGTAAGTAGTCTGCTGGTAGGAGCGTTATTACTTTGTAAATGTGATTTTTTGCACCGGTGCTTCTGTATCATGACACTTTTTTTTTTTTTTTTTACAAA